AGGGAGGGGAGGAGATGAGCTAGGGAGGGGAGGAATGAGCTAGGGAGGGGAGGAGATGAGCTAGGGAGGGGAGGAATGAGCTAGGGAGGGGAGGAATGAGCTAGGGAGGGGAGGAGATGAGCTAGGGAGGGGAGGAATGAGCTAGGGAGGGGAGGAATGAGCTAGGGAAGGGAGTCTCCGGCAGCAGAGAACCACTGCCGATCATGGCCACTGCCGTTCGCTGCTACTCTACCACTCAGTTCCTGTGGTGATTGTCGTGTCTTTAAACCTTACAAAGAAGCTTCTTTGAGAGGTTTTGTACTCCGTCCTGGGGTTTGGAGGGGAAAGAGGGTGAAGGAACGAATGCCCTGGGTTCCTGGTTCCGATTTCACCTGTAACTTTTTACCTCGGCGGGGCCTCCATGCTCCCTGATGTTACTCTGGGGTACCAATATCTGCAGCCGGGGCTGTTGCCAAGACCTCTATGGTTAAGGGCCAAGCAGTGATGACCTCAAGGCAACGAGGGAAAGAGGCAATGACAGTAGCACTTTGCTCCAGTCATTCCTCACCAACCCCCTCCAACCACCCTCCTCCTCAGGATGCAGCCCCTCTCTTCCCACACACCAGGTCAAGTTAGCCATCAATTTTTCCCAGCAGTTTTTCACAATTTTTACTTAGTTCTCAGAATCAACGGTTTTTTTCTTACTTCTATAGTTACTCCAGGGTTGATTTGGGAATAGGGAGCTGGCAGCCTTTGTTAGTGTGCTGTCCCGGCTAGACTGGAAGCCCAGAAGTTGGAAGTTTACCCTCTCCAAATCTTTTTCTAAGTATCTAAGCATTTGCATATGTGTGTGCATGTGCATGTGTATTTCATTTTGAGGTGTGTATATGTATTATTCTGCAATCTGATTTTTAAAACTTAACTATAAATCCCGAAGATCTACTGTATCCTTTTTACATACCATAGTTTAATTATTCTCCTATTGAAGCATTTTTAGATTGGTTCAATTTTTCTCTATTCAAACTATAATAAGAGTAAAATTCTTTCTTGCACTTGTGAGGAATTACTTCTCTAGATCAGATGATGAGAGGTGGAACTGCTGGCTCAAAAGGCACAAGCGTTTATAACTTAAGTAGGTACTAATAAATTGCTCTCTCACTATATGAGACTCCTTTCCCACACCACACATGATACTTTTCCATTACTAAGTTTCACATCTTCTTCCCTTACCTTTCCTAAGAATATATATTTTTAAGAATAAAAATTAACAAAATAAAACCAGCCATCTCCTTGGGTCCTGTGTAGTCTTCAGATCTCCAGCTTGTTTAAACCAGTTTCACACTTGTTCAAGCAAAGACAACCAAATACAATAGAAAGAACACTAAATAGAGATCAAGAATCCTAGCCCCATCTCTATCATCAACTAGCCTGACTATACTGTCCCTTTCCACCTGGAATTTCATTAAGCACCTTAAAGTTAATGTGTTGAATCAAATTCATGATTTCTCCCCAAAAACTTGGCACTCTTCTCTCTGCATTTCTAAGCCAACGACTACATAACCACAACCTCCCCCAACTAGTGATGGATTACTATCATTTCTATACTCATATCTAAACGTCTTCCCTCTCCCATTCTGCTTAGCTGTGTTTGTTCACGTTCTCATTCTGACTATTCCAATGGTGCTCTGATAGGTCTCCCACCTTTGCTTCACTTGTCCTTGGCTCCATACTCCTTCCTAAATATCTCTAGCTTATGACTCCCTTGCCCAAAATATCTTAACAGGCTCCACAGTGCCCAAGTCTTACCATGGCCTAAAGGTTCTTCACGATCATTTGGTTCAACCTACTTCTCCAGACTTATCTCTTTATCTAAAGTCCTAGTCATACTGAGATTTTCCACACTTTCTAAATACGCCCTAATCTTTCTTGGCTCTTGTCCCTTAACATATGCTACTTCTGCTTCTGAAATATCTTTCCCCATCATTGCTGCCTGGCAAAATCCTACTGGATCTTTAAAGACCCACATCAATATCATATCCTGTAAAGAGTGTCATCCAACTTCAAGTGGAGTTTTCCCTCCTCTGTGCTCATGTACAATTATTAATACAGCTATTTGATCAGCTATCACACTGTAGAGTGACCGTTTAAGCCCTTTGCTCCCTATATGACTATAAGCTGCTTAAAGGTAGGGTCCTGACTTGATCATCTTTGTATCTCTTCCAAGGTTGTGTCTGGCATATAGTAGATAACTCAGTAAATGGATGCAGAAAGAAAGAATGAATGAATGATCCTCACAAATCATTTGAAAGATCTTCAGTTTTTTTCAAGTGTAGAACAAGGGGGTTGAAACAGATGGCCTAAATTCCCTTCAGCTGTAAAACTCTATCACTCTATGATTGCAGATTAAAGTTACTATAAGGCTGACACCTAAATTAAACAAAGTATTAGCATGCTTTAACTAAAAGCAGGAATATTTTTGTTATTTTTTCCAGTACTTAGATCTAACCAAAAAAAAAAATCATTAAGGTTAAAAAGTACCTCTGAATGATAGACTGCTTGCTGTGAAACTAATGATTCATGGTTTTCTTTAGCAAGAAGAGAAAGAATTGCGTCTGCGTGAAATTTTTTATGGGGCATCCTAGTCACTTGTCCTTCACTGGGAGAATCATCTTCCTAAATGAAATATAAAGACAGTTAGTGCAACAAAAAGTAAAAATTAATCTATCAAACATTTGCATTTCTCAATTTATGATTAATAAAACTTAGCAGCCATCAATGAAAATGGTCATATAGCACTTTACGGAAAGAAGATGAACTCTTTCTTTTCATTTAGTTCTCATTTCCCTTCAACTCCACTAAAAATCCTTTACGTTTGCCTCAAATATAAAAAACAGTATAAAATAATTTGGTTACATTTAAACTGGAGGTTTGTTATAAAAACAGGAAAATTGGAGCCCCATCCCATGCGACTGAGTTACAATGATTCACAAATATTTTATATAGGTTATCAAGTTTTTGGCTCACAGTTTCCTGCTTCATAATTATGCAGCACATAAAGCAAAGCCACAGCGTGGCAGTGGGGGCAGAGCCCTGTAGTAATGGCACGTCCTGGACCCCGGGCAAAAATGAAAAACTGCAGAAATATGCTAAGGCACCTATAGACCTTCAATGTTCCCTTCGCCTTTGCGCTGACCTCCGGTACTTGGCTAGGGAACAGGTACTGAAAGCCCTCATTCAATACCTAGCCTAGGCTTTTTTTTTTTTTTTTTTTGTGAGGAAGATCAGCCCTGAGCTAACATCCACGCCAATCCTCCACTTTTTGCTGAGGAAGACCGGCCCTGGGCCAACATCCATGCCCATTTTCCTCCACTTTATATGGGATGCCACCACAGCATGGCCTGATAAGCAGTGAGTCGGTGCGCGCCCGGGATCCAAACCTGGGCCGCCAGCAGCGGAGCGCGCGCACTTAATCGCTATGCCACGGCGCCGGCCCCAGCTTAGGCTTTTTGGTGCCTCAAAATAGACCTGTCCCAAAATTGAGGGACAATGTGAGCCTCAGAGTCAGAGAAACTGGATTCCCTTGTAAATACAAGTATTAACATGATTTTAAATTCCATTAATAGTATTTTTTGCTTAAGTATTTTGTTTCTAACGAAATAAAGTTTATTAACTCTGGATTACAAGTCCTTATCCCCCAACTGTATACAGATAAATGCCTACTGGTACATGACTTCAAGCTATTCTCAGTTTTTCCAGACTGTACTTCTGCATTTGACTTTATTATAAATTTGTAGCATACATGATTTAGGCTTAGTAAAAATATCAAAATTAGAGTTTAGTTTCAAAAGTAGAAAAAGAAAGATGTTATAATTTAGCCTTGGTTCAGTTTAGCTATTTACTTTAAACAAACTTAAATGCACTTTGGCACCATAATAAAGTTCTAAGAATGAATAAAAATGCCATAATGATATATTAAGTAGTCCAAATGTTAGTATAATGCTTCTCTAAAAATAAAGATATTTCATTTATGCCTTCCGCCCATATTATTTTATAAAAGTGATTTCCACTGTCTTCACAATGAACTCAATTACTTGTAATAAATAATTACTGTTAGAAAAGTAACTGCTCCATTAAAATCTTATCAAAAATCTCCTTCATTAATTATTTCATACTCCTATATGTAGTAAAGCAAATTATTTTAACAAACTCTATTACTTGGATATATGAATTTCCAGATTCAGCATCTTTACACTATTAAGTATCTATAACAGTATAAAGATGCCACGTAGCCTCTGAAGCTGTTTGCTGGACCTGACAAATGCCTGCCACACACACCCAGCTCCCTGCAACTTAAGCTTTAGAATTCAGATAGCCCCTATTAAAACTCAAAATTTACAGTTATTAGCTTAAAATGAAAGGAAAAAGTATCATGTATCCATATAAAAGAGTTGTGGATCTGTCACTAAATAGCTATGTGACACAGACAAGTGATTTAACCTCACTCAACTCAAAGTAAAATGAGTAGTCACACAGTTTCAACTAAGTATGCACATCAGAATACCTGGGAGCTTTTTCAAAACATACAGGTCTAGGCTTCTAACTGCCCACACACATGCACACCCCACAACCCTCACGATTTACTGAATCAACATATCAGAGAATGGGGCCAGCATGCATGTTTTTTAAAAGCTCCACTGCTGAATTTAACATATAGTCCTAGTTTACATCACTTGAATAGGTTGCTTTAAAGAAATTTCTAGCATTATGATTTTAAAGGGAGAGAAGGACATGACTTTTCAAAAGTACACCAATCTCTGTTTTCATCATAATCACATATAATGGTACAAATGGAACGATAAAAATGCAACTAGACTTCTACTTCTAGCCAAGATGGAGTAACAAGGAGCAGATTTACCCAACCCCTTGAAATAACTAAAACAATGGAAAGTATATGAAAAACTACATTTCAAGAATGGATCATCAGTAACAAAAGACAGTGAACCTGGAGAGATGGGAAACAGAGGAGGAGAACCCTGTGACTGCCCCAGGTTACTGCCTGGGAGAGTTTCCAGGCTGGGGCACAGTGGGGAGAACCCAGCAGAGCTCAGTGGACCCCTGAGCTGAGAAGAAGGAGCTGAAACTCCAGAGAGCTAGAGTTCTTAAGACAGACTACCAGAAAACCGAAAGCTGCACGGGGAGAGAACTCTGGCAATCTGCAGAACGTCCCCTTTGAGTACTAAGCTGAGTACTGATCAGCAGATGCATTTGAGGTAATTACACGAGGCTAGAGGGACAAAGCACCTGAGAAAGGACCGGATATAACAGCGCCTGATGCTCACGCAGGGCCTGGATTAACGGCTGTTCCCAGCAGCCAGGCTGGAAAGCCTCATTTATGAGGCATCAGGTGGAGTACATAGAAGGGTCTTCCCTCCATAGAGGGGAATAAACAGCCCTAGAATGAGGACTGCTCTGGTCTTGCCTAATAAATTTTAAAAGCAAGACTCAAAAGGTTAAAACTATCTCTAAGTACTAAACCGTGTGCCTGAGGAAAGATCAAAAATATTTATAGGAATATAAAACACAGATGGAAAAAGTCTACACAAAATTTTAGCAAATAAAATTAAATAGTTTTTCTTCAAGTTTAACATATACCTACCATATCATCCATCCATTCTACTCCTAGGTATTCGCCCAAGAGAAATGAAAGCATATGTCCATACAAAGACTTGTACAGAAACGTTCATAGCAGCTTTACTAGTAATAGCCAAAAACTGGAATAAACTCAAATGTCCATCAATAGGTGCATGGACAGATTGTGCTACATCCATACAATAGAACACTACTCAGCAATAAAAAGGAATGAACTATGATACACACTACAACATATATAAATCTCAAAATAATTATGCTGAGTTAAAGCAACCAGACAAAATGAATACATTCCATGTGACTCTATAATATAATTCTAGAAAATGAAAACTAACCTACTGTTACAGAAAGTAGATCAGTGGCTGCCGGGAGAGATGTGGGGGATGAGAGGAACAATAAGAAACAGGAAGGAGGGATTACAAAAGGGCATGAGGAAACTTTTGGGAGTGATGGATGATGGATATGTTCATTATCTTGATCATAGTAATGACTTTACAGATAAATACATATGTCAAAAATTATCAAATAAGTTTTTTTAAAAAAAGCAATAATAGCACCAATGCTTAGCAAAGACGATGGATAATGTAGATGAAAGTTGAGTACAATTACCTTTCCTTGCTTAGGTTGTTTAAAAATATATAAAAAGTAAAGATTTCTATCCCTTAATAGTTTTCAAAACAAAATTTCTACTATCATTTCTGTATGATAAATTTTTAAATGCCAATTTTTCCTTCCTAGAGCTAGATAATAACTAGGAAGGGTTAGTACCCCTGGGTCCTATTTCAGTATTTTTTTTAAGCCACTGAACTCAAATTTTGTTTTTTTTTTTTTGGTGAGGAAGATCGGCCCTGAGCTAACATCTGCCAATCCTCCTCTTTTTTTTGCTGAGGAAGACTGGCCCTGGGCTAACATCCACACCCATCTTCCTCTACTTTATATGGGACGCCGCCACAGCGTGGCTTGACAAGTGGTGCATTGGTGCACGCCCAGGATCCGAACCAGCAAACCCCGGGCCGCCGCAGCGAAGCACGCGCACTTAACCGCTTGCACCACCGGGTCGGCCCCGAATTCAATTATTTTTTAGCACAAAGATTTATAATCACAGTTAGGGAAAAATAACAAATGTATTCTAAGAGAGTTGGTTTAAACAGCTAAGGTCCTGCCTGAAATATTGTAAAGGCAACAAATCCATGTGACAATTTGCACTGAGCTAGATTTTCATTCCCTAATTACATTAACTGTGTATTTTTCAACTATTGGAGCCACAGAGGTTAATTACAATTTTCTTTTCTTTCTCACAATTATGATAATGAAATGTACAAATATGGTAATGAGATATGCAAGACATCTTAAATTCCTTCGTGGATATTTTATTTAATTTTATGTCTATAATTCAAATATTTGAGAAAACACCCTGATCAATGGCAACAAGTTCATCAAGATTTTCATCATGTCAGAATTCAATGGGAAGTCAATCATTTCTTACCATTTCAAGGGCATCACGCAGAGTACTGGATAAGCTATCATCTAGGTTTGTCAGATATAATCCTCCATCTCCTAAAACTAGAAATTAAAATGTAAAAGTTTAGAAAAAAGAAGAAACAAATTTAGTAAATAATCTGACCATAAAGCCATAGAACATTACATTTAAACTTATACAATAAAAATACTGGCAAAGTTCATAAATAATAAGTCACAAGCTACCCAATCTCACCAGTTTTTTAAAAAGCACACTTTATAACATAGACGAGATTTCTGTTTTACTTATCAGCTTAAGTAAATTAAAGAAATTCTTAAGTAAATTAAGAAATTAAAAAGAACTATAGGGCCGGCTCTGTGGCTTAGCGGTTAAGTGCGCGCGCTCTGATGCTGGCGGCCCGGGTTCGGATCCCGGGAGCGCCCCGAGGCACCACTTCTCCGTCCAACGCGAGGCCGAGTCCCACGTACAGCAACTAGAAGGATGTGAACCTGTGACATACAACTATCTACTGGGGC